GTTTTCTCCGCGCTGATGTTATTCGTGCGGCAATGATGTCAAATGGGTATTGATTGCCAGTTGATAAAGAACACTTAATTTCGGTACTTTTGATGCCAGGGCGGACCCTAAAGATTGCCGGAAACAAATTTATATCACGATGCAGTGTTAAGTCGATATCTACAGGGTAAAAAACAGCAGACGGCCGAGCCATGAAAGGTGTTACTAAAAAAAGTTGTTGAAATTTGGTGGTTTTTTAATTTTAAATTTTATTTGTATCTTCAAGTAACTTCTGCGGTTTTCGTGCTGCAAGTTAGGAATATACAGAAGAACAATTGTTGAAGAAATTGTATTGAGGAATAAAAAGCAGTTCGCTTCTTATTAAACATATTAAGCATTATGATTTAGAGGATGAAACATGGAAAGGTGCTGTTTTGAATCCACTGTAATTCAGTTATTGCTCTGTGCTGTAGACGTCTGCAAAAATCACCGTTTATATTTCTCATGTGTCGTTTCCTTGAATTCGCCTTGACTGTTTGACTTTATGGTTCAGAAGTATGTAAATTACGACAGTTTGGCGGCATCTGATAGTACAGAATTGTTAAGTTGCTGTTTACTCACAGGGTGTATTCGAGGTTGTTAAATGGAGTTTTGCCTCAGCACAGTTACATTTGAAATTTTGTGATTTTAAAAACCGCCTATATTTTTGATGAAGATTCAGCTGCTGAAAAAAGTTTATTTTCAATACTTTACATAATAGTCGCCAGAAGTGCCAAGAGTTTTCTGTTGGAAAAAAAAAAAAAAGAATTGAAAATGTACATAAACTTCTGATATTTTTATTTCTATGATATCAGTGAATTAAAGCAGTCAAAAAAAACTAATTCATTTCAGTATGTGTTGTTGTGAAAATTTTTTTGTCATTTTAAAAAATTTTTTTGTTGGCTGGTATTTACAAAAAAGGGGAAGAAGCTGGAAGTTTTTTTCTTCGTATTTTTCAAATGATCCGAATGATAACGTTTCACTTCCGGTCCGGTTAGCTTTTTCGTCATTATCTCATTTTAACTTCTTTATCGACAGGAACTAACTGCTGCTCTACACAATTATCTACTTTTTTTTCTTGATACGGTATTGGGCTTCTAGACAGCAACTTTTTTTGCACTTGCACCTCTCACATAATGTTTCAAATAGTGCGGTATACCATAGATCAGTGTAATCGGTTTAATGATGCAACGGCGAAGTTTTGGCGCCTTTGAGAACGATTTTGATGTCCGCCTTATTTAGACCCGCTGTTGAAGTGTGTGTCAAGACGGGAGAACAAACATTATAAATGTTTGATTCTCTATTTGATTCTTCAGCTAAAAGTCTACGTAGAAAACGCCATTTTAAAATGGCGGGCAAAAAACACATGACTTTGGCAAACAAAGTTTTTTCAAATTTGTCGTTTATGATAGTTTTTTTATGCTGCTTTTGCTGTTGATTATGATGAGTTAACGAAGTTAAGACAGGAAAGCAGAGATATCTTTTAAGTGGGTCTCAGAAAGTTGTAACTTTCTGTCGTTTACGGTTCAAGGAACTGTTCTATAGTTTACAATTAATCGGATGCTTCATTCCTTAAATTCTTCTCGCTCTGAATTGTGTAAAGTTCGAAAACTTTAAAGATCAGTGACACCTTGCTTGTCGTCGTTGTTCTCTCCCGCGTGTATTGGGTGATTAAATGATCAGTTGAAAACGTGATATACAGAGTCATCTTTGATACTCTCTTATCTGGTCAGTTTGGTTTGTTTCAAAAGCTACGTATTTTTTTTTCTTGAATTTAAATTAAACATTTGTTTGTAACGTTAACGTCTGCGACTTGTGTGTTGATGAATGCATTAATAATGTTTGTGACTTGTAAACCTGAAAACTGAATTATGTGAGTTTACCAAAAAAAAAAGAAATTATTGTCCTAATTCGATCAGTCTGTCGCCTCCTTGAATCTTGTCCTTGAGCTAAAAGATTTTAGTGGCAATAAATAAGCAAATTCTTAAACGTTGGTTGGGTATTTTAGAGCGATTGGGGGAATGCTGTTTGAAAGATTTTACAAGTACTTAATGCGGATATGCCGCTGGAAAAAAGCGTCGGCTGAAGCAGCCATTAGGTTTTTTAAGAATATGGCTGTTACCCTCGATGTCTCTCAGAATTGCATCGAATTTTTACATTCGTCATTTTTCAGCAAAAATTAAAACTTGTTTTGTCACGGTAGTCTTGATCAGCAGTGCCTCATCTTCACTAGAAAAAAATATTGAAAGGGCCCTCACTTACAAATCAGTCTATGCTTTCTGGAAATATTTCTTTGAAAAGATTACGAGACGAACGTTGCTTCAAGGTTGGTGCACTTCTCAAAGAGAGTTTTTGGTTCTTTTGGCTCTTTTACGTTTCAACTTATGTAGATCAAGGGATAAAAAAACTTTGGTAGTCCTCAGAAGTTCTCCTGAACTTTCACAACCGCTCACCCATACTTCTCATCAGTTTTAAGAGCGTTCCGGATTGTTGATGTGTTTCAGTAGTTAACGTAAAACTTCTTTTTGGAGTGAAGCTGACATTAATCGTTGAATTGTGCAACAAAAAACCGAATAACAGTCAATTTTTGTTCCTACAGCGTCTCGTTATTACGGTGCCTCAGTTTCTTAAGGTATAAGAAAGTTGCAGCTTTACAGTTTTTCTGCAATCATGAAATTTTTGAAAATTATAATAAACTGTTTGAAGTCCTTTTGCGCAAATTGCGGCTCAAGTCTTCAGACTGTTTCTACACCTTTGTGGCTGCTAACTGCTTTTGTACTTCGACCTCCTAAAATTATCTTACCAGTTAATTTTTTTCAAATAATGTGGTTTAGGAATCTGCTGAAAAAAAAAAATGACGGAAAATCCGACAGAAGAGCCGGAGCATAAGTTTACTTTAGATGACTTTCTGAAACTTGAAAAGATTGGTGAAGGTAGAGATTTAGATTGCAACTATAGCCGAGGAAAAGGTTTTTTTTGAATAACAGCACACCATCGGTGCTTTATCTGTTCCAGGTACATATGGGGTTGTTTATAAAGGTCAGAATATCAGAACTGGTCAACTGGTTGCAATGAAAAAAATTCGTTTAGAAAGCGAAGATGAAGGTGTTCCGGCAACAGCACTTCGAGAAGTTTCACTGCTGCGTGAACTTCGTCACCCAAACATTGTAGCGTATGTTTTTTCTTCAATATACCATCCTTTCCTTACAAAAATGTGTTTGTTAATAAGAAAGTTTTCTAGCAGAGTTACAGATGCGACTTAGATTGCTCGCACTTTAGCGGACATTAATATTTCTTTTCTTTAGTCACCGGCGAGGTGATGGAAAATGTAAAATTATAATTGAAGTTTTTTGGGTCTCAGGTAAAAAATGGTTTGCTTTTCCAGGCTTGAAGTAGTCATTATGGAAGAGGAAAAACTTTATTTGATATTTGAGTTTTTATCAATGGATCTCAAAAAATTTCTTGATGGGATCCCACCTGGTGTTATGATGAGTTGTTATACGGTAAGCTGGCACATTATTACAAATGAACTTTATATTATTTAGGGAAGAGTGTATGATTTATGAGAACAAATAACGTTAACAATGAATGTTTAACAGAACAAAGATAACGTGAGGGCACTCAGGACTTTCGTTATTCTATTTTGTGTTCTACTCTAATAAGCTTTTTGTTCTTAGCAAAAGTCATATCTCTATCAAATTCTGCAAGCTATGTATTTTTGTCATCGACGCCGTATTTTACATCGAGATTTGAAACCACAGAATTTGCTGGTCAACAGTAATGGCATTATTAAATTAGCGGATTTCGGACTAGCACGAGCGATCGGCATCCCAGTCCGAGTTTACACTCATGAGGTTATCACGCCGCTAATCCTCCGACATTTATAAGTTTCCTTTACGCGCTTCTTTTTTCTTCTTTTTGTGAAAAGTCCAGTCTCGCTGTGATACGAGGTCAGAAAGGTTGAAAAAATACAGCTAAGTTCTTGACACTTAGGGATATCGAGCCACATTAATAAATCTATGAAAAACTAATGCTGATTCACTTTTCAAAGTCGTTTTGTTAATGCACTGTCGATTAAAGATAGAGATTCAGATAGTAACCTTATGGTACAGAGCACCAGAAATTCTACTAGGATCACAGCGTTATTCAATGCCAGTCGATATATGGAGCATTGGCTGTATTTTTGCTGAAATGGCATTAAAAAAGCCACTTTTTCAAGGCGACTCAGAAATTGATGAGCTTTTCCGTATATTTCGGTGAGTGATTTTCTTACACTTGATAGAAAGTAAGTTGCCAAATTATTAAATCAGGTTTTCTATGAAATTGTTGACAAATATTTAGTATTTTAACCACCCCAACAGAAGAATTGTGGGCCGGCGTTACTACTCTCCCAGATTACAAGCCATCTTTTCCACAATGGACTGTAAATCAGCTTGAAGATAGAGTTCGTGATTACATGAATCCAGATGCTATTGATTTGTTACAGGTATGTTACAGTTACAATCTTGTTTTCATCACTACAAAACAAAAGTACTACTATTTTTACCTCTTTTAAGTTTGTTTTGCTCCTTTTTATTCTAGCGCTTAACCATTTTTTCAGAAGATGCTCGTTTTTGATCCTGCTAAGCGTATATCTGCAAAACAGTCTTTGTTGCATAGATATTTTGATGGTCTCAACAAGGAAAATTTGCCTGGGACAAATTATGATAATTAGACGGCGGCACCCAAAAACTATACCTGCATTGAATATTTCCTTGCTTTACCGCGTCAGCTGTCTTATTGCTGAAATTGTTACTCGTACTAGTAACAGTTAGTAAAACAGCTTTATGGTAAAATATGAAAAAAATGAGAAAAATCAAAGAGGGGAAAAATGATCTGGTATTTTCAATGTTTTTTCTACGAATGAAATTTTTTTATGCCTACAAATGTTGTAGATAAAAAATAAATGGATACCTTGGACTCTTTCGGATTACACAACATGTAGCAGTTTTGTTTAGAAGGTCCACTCAAGCATTTCAGCCCAACCTTGGTTTATGAATTAATCACTGCATTCCGAAAAGTCGCGTTTTACTTCTATATAGGACAACTTGGGTCGTAGTTGCGAGGCAAGAAAGAGCTCTAGTTTATTTTCTATAAAAGTGCTAAGTAACTTTGTGATACATACTTGAACCAGCGTTCAGAGCTGCAATTCCCAGCTGATAAGTATGTAGTTGGTGCAAGCTGACTGTCACACATGAAATGCAACAGTCGAAGAAAGCACAATTATTTTAATGACGGATCATTGGTGACACGTTACAGCTGTCAGGTCCATACCTCCAAAAAGACAAAATAATTTCCGTTCTTGGTTGAATAAATATGGTTTAATTAAATTCATATGGGAATCAACCTATGACCAACACACTGTCGAAACACGAGTGGGCTGAAAGCAGGCTTAGTAGGTAACAGATTGGGCAAGCTGCGGGTCATACTAAGACATCAATGCTTGGTGCATGTAGGGCACAGTGGTATTGGAACTCATATTTCTTTCTGATTATCTCGAATAATGATAACAGCAGTTTCGCTTACACCTCATATTTCACTCTTAATATTCATATAGCCAACAGTAAATTTACTTGCAATCCGTAGTCCACGGTAAAGTAGAAAATAATTTTGGTTGTAACTTTAGTATGAGAAAAATACCCGGAAGCTGAAAAACTATGTTTCGATGACAGCAGATGCAGTAGACGATTAACAGAGGTATATCAGCAACAATACAGTGCACAACAACTATGATAACAAAATACTGCATATGGCTTATTGTAGCTCAATTTTTTGACCTGATGTTCGACGCTCCATCCAATTTCGATACCGCCAATTATATATGAACAAAACAATCGGGTAAATCGTTAGTGTTGAAATAATAATTCAAAAGAATTTGAATAGTTCAAAAAAAACGCCAAACAACCACCGGCATAACGGAGCTATTGGCTCATAAGGTGTAAGTAAAGAATGAGAACTGCTAGAACTTGAGGTTCCAGAACGCGGTTAATTGGTAGCAATTTAGTAGCCAATTTCGCTTCTCGATGCTAGCGAAAGGAATGTCCGCCTCATCCTACCCCACCCCCTCCCCAAAGGTGCGGAATGCGTAATGGCGCCAAAAATTTTTATTCAAATTTGCCAATTACTGCAGTCAACGTTCAGCTTTGACTTGTTGTAAACCAAACGCCGGTGTTACATAACAGATTTTTATATGCTTTGTTTACTTAGTTCTCAACCCTGTTCATTTGTGCTTTGTTTTATATATTTATTTAATTGTTTTTAAAATTTTCTTGTGTTTTTTTCATGCGATGACAGGTGACAGGATGTTCCTGTTATTATAATTAAATTGTGTTCTTTTTTACATTTTTCTGCTTATTTTTCGTTTGTTCGTTGTTATTTTTTTTATTATATACTTGAATTTTTGAGTTACTAAAAAAGTGTATAGAGTCTTAGTGGGTGGCGTCAGGTCGTATTTGCTATTGAATGGGTTGGGGAACAGTCAAAAACAGTATTATCTTTGAGTTGCAAAAGGAATGGACTATTTGTAAGTGCGATACTATATGCAAGTTTAGTGGGAAGTTTAGCGGAAAGGAAAATTGGTTTTTTTAAGAACAAATTGTATCATTGTATCACAATAAAAGCGTAATGTGTATGTAATAATGTCGGTTAGCGGCTTGCAAATTTCAGTTTGAATAAAACCAGATCGATTTTCTGCACTTATATTTTCTACGATTACTGGTCTAATTTATTTCCAGAAAAACTCATATTTTTTTGTCGCGGGTGTGAAATGGCATGGTTTTTTTCTCAGGCTCCAGTGAGTGATAACATTTAGGTGGGTCATTATTTACCTCAAGTTCCAACTGGTTGATTTTTGGCGTATTGAATCATTGAAGTTCATCTGTGCAGGAGTTACACAATAATGAAATTCACTTACAAGTGCATTGTTGTTACCCTTTCCTAAATAAAAGTCGGTGTTTATTCTTATTAATGCGTTTGTTATAGAAAAGAAACCAGAATTTTCTTTCTGATTTTTTTTTTT